TTTTCTCTTAGAGGGTTGATGAAAGTTTAAACAGCCTAAAGTCAGATGAGACATGACAGTGTTTGTGTTTGTAGTTGGACAACATTGCTGAGCACTGCTTCATGTTTCCCTTCTTTATGACAGCTTACATAAACTTTAAATTACCCCCCGAGGAAAACAGAAAATCTCACGGAAACAGGAGAAATGTGGTCTTCTGCTGCAGTCCCAGCCTGGGTGTGTTTGGTTAGCACCATTAGCGCTTTAAACCAATGGTCAGAATAAAGGAATATAAGAAATCATTTTTAACAAACTTTATATCATCCAATGAGAGAAAGCAGGACATTGCAACACTTGTGTTTAAACAAAGGGGGAAAAAAGACTGTTCAATATGAAATACATTTAAAAAAAAAATCTACTTTAAGTAACCCAGAGAGAAATAAAGGAAAATCGTGTTAAAGATGTTTAGCAGCTGCTGTTTATATATGTGGTTGTCCTTTATAGACATGATAGAAACTCAGGAAGTGGTTTCACCTGAACACCACTTTGAATAGGTTTCAAATCTGAAAAATGAATAAAAATAAAAGATTTAGTTTCAACTACATCTAACCTTCAATAACCAAACACTTTTATAACTTATGTTTTGGGTATGGTTTTCAATTTGATCAGAATATTCATAACTTTCAAGGGAGTAAACATGTTCTGAATCCTATTCTTCTCCTGATCAGAACCTGGCAGGCAGATCCGTCCTTTGGGCCTCTGTACCTGTCCTCCACGTCCACAGAGATGCCTGAAGTCCAGGTGGAGGGAGTCAGGCTCCAGGTCCACTGCTGCCTTTACCTGCTGGAACCCACAGGGGCCATCAAAACCCGACTGACTCACCTCTGTCGAACAGACCCCAGGTACCAACAGACCACTACATCTAGATTAGGAGGCAACTAACGATTGTTTTGCAAATCGATGGCCAAAGGTGCTTAATGGGAGATTTGTTTTACAAAATTTGAACCAGGTGAAGCTAAAGCTATGCCACTTGAGGAGTTCTGGATAGAACATATTTACAGACAATGGTTTTCATCTTAAATGCAAAATGAATATATATTTTTTATACAACTTTAGCCTGGGTTGTTCTTTCAGCAAAAGACACGTTTTAGAGTCTGTATAATCCATTTAATCAATAGGTTGACCCTCATCAAGATAGTTATATGGAGGTACGCAGCTCCATCCATCTTCCCTGCTAAAGAAAAGTATCACCACCACCACCGTGCATCACTAGGACCAGATTGGTGCAGTGCATAATTAATTGTTGTCCAGTCAGATTCTCCGCAGCTCCTCCAGTGTCACCATGGGCCTCTTGGCTGCTAATCTGATTAATGCTGTCCTTGTTCAGCCTGTGAGATGTTCAAAGCTTGGGGTACCTTCTTGCTTTCATTTCCTGAACCTCGGCGCTGCCTGTCGACATTAGCTGCAGCGTCATTTGAAGACCTTGGTAGTTTTAAGATGAGACAACAGATCTCAACGGAAATGAGATGTTAGAGATCCAGTGGGAAAGCCTTGAGCAAAGCTCTTCCTTCCAAACACTCAAGCTACATCATTTTCTTCCAAAATGGAGTTTTGCAGCTTTTCCACTTGTTTTCAGAGGGATGTCTTATTCTGACCTCTAAAATATGACAAGAATGTCTGCATTTTTCTCCAAGCTGTTGAAGGAAAAAATAAGGCATAGTCCAGAATAAAAACTTAAAAATCTATTTGGGTTTTGTTTTTTAGGGGGCGGTCTCCAGAATGGCACAGCAAAGTCAGCGGACACCTCCTGGCCTCGGGTCTGTTGGCGATCAGAGGCTCCTTCAGAGCGGACTATAAGGAAACTAAAATCTGAGTCTGGGCAGAGGAGCTTCCCCTCTTCTACAGAATCAAGTAATGAAGTTCCTCTGAAATGTTTTGAACGTTTATGAAACCACTTCCTGGAGGCAAAAGAAGAAGCAGGGGAAATACCTCAGCTGCATGGACAAAAACAGGAAACAGACGTTTGGCTGCAGGGGAATTGAACCACCAACCGCTACAATCATCATAACCAGCAGAGGAATTCCAAGTATTCTGTTGATCTGCTCAGGAGATGGTAGGATCACAAAGACTTGTTTCAAGAACAGGTTGGACTTCGCCCAGCTCAGCGTAGAGCCGCTGCTCTGCTCCTCCACATCAAAAGATGGTCCTTTCCTGGACCTTCATGATCTAAGATGAGCAAACCATGGATGGTTAGATCAGATGTTTCCAAACCAGGTGGATCTGTTTCTGCATGGTGGTGTTCATTTTCTTCCAACTACTCTGATTATTTAACTTAAATCCAGATGCTTTTATTTAACTGCGAGGTCTAACTTCATGAGTGCCAAACGGCTAATTAAAATGTTTTTCTCTCTGAACCTGCGTCTTGTTTCTCTTCCCCTCTGAGACCCAATTGGTGCCAAACAGATTACTGACGGTAGTTTCAGAGGAAGCAGCAGGAGGAGTGAAGAGGAGATGAACACGTCCTTTAAAAAACAGCTAACATTGTTCCTGCTCGACACCCACTTCTATCATTTACATAAAACATTTTTTCATTCGTCTATGAGAGCAACCATAATCACTGACAGTGAGAAGGTCCTGGTGGCGGTGAGGACTACACTCTGCTCTAAGCAGGAGATCATTTATGCTAATTCCAGCAGAAGAATGTGCAGGTGTTTAATTTCTGAGAGGCAGAAATGTGCTCTTCCATCTGGAGTTAAGAACCATGAAAGGAGCTGTGGGTGACCTCCAAGGTTAAGATCAGGTTCAGGAGGTGGAGACCACGGAGCAGCAGAAAGGTTTTTGTAAAATCCGCCGTAAAAAGAACAGCTTGAAGAGTTAAATAAAAGGATTTAGTCCAGATTCAACACTGAATGACGACAGGCTAAAATGATTCAACTTCCTGAATAGAATCATTTTATGAGAGCGCACATTTATAAATCAGCTGTGGACGTCTGAGGCAGCCAAGTCGAGAAATGTGTAAAAAGATGCTGAATGTTCCTCGAGGTGAAAAGGTTTTCAACTGTAAAAGTTAAAAGGTGCGGTGACTGCGCCACCTGGTGGCAGAATAAGGAAGCTCTCAACATCTGCCACCAGAGTCCAGAGAAGGCAGGAGGTGAAAAACCTTCGAATGACTGGAAGAGACCTCCAGGGAGCCTTGGTGGCAGCAACGTCTGAGGTTTCCACAGGAAGGAGCAGGCTGAAGAGTAAAGAGCTCCATGCAGCAACTCTAATTTGCTCCAAACCGTATAAATAAGCCCAAGGTTTTGTGATTCTGTTCTGTGAAGCGAGGAATCCAAATATGGATCTACAGTGAAGCACGGTGGTGGCTGAGTGACGCTCCGGGGAGGGAAAGGTCATGTCATCCATGACGAAGCTGAAGCTTGGGGAATCTCTGGACCTTCAAACAGAACAATGACTCCAAGCGTATCTCAAAGGTTTCTGAAGAAGTCATGGAAGATCCAGCAGTGGCCACCGCAGTCGCCTGAAATCGCTCTAAAATCTCTGGTGGGATTTACCTGTTGCAGCAGGTGAACCCAAGAACACTAACCTGGAGGCCTTCGTCCAGGAGGAGTGGGCTAAGATCCGCTGCCACCAGCTGATGTCTGGCTTCAAGTCAAGTTTGTAGCAGCTCATGATGGCAACCAGTACCCCACTAGGTAATAAAGATGATGGTCATGAAGTGGCTGGCTGAGTTCAAGACTTCTGTGAGGTTTTTGTTGCAAACAGCTGTTCAGTCATACATTTGGCCAATAAATCAAATTTGCAGTTTGAGTAATTTTAGATAAAACCGGAACAGAAACAGAACTCGCCGTTAAAGACCAGGCGGTCGCAGCTTTCATCTCTCAGCTCTGAATATTTGCCCTCATTTGGATCTGTTAAAGCAAAACAAATGAACAGAAAGCATCAGCAGGACTGAGACAAACATCACATAGATACACTTCAGTCAAATTTGTAAAGCTGCCAAAGACAAATCAGAAATAAACGTACTTTTAAATACCTTATAGAGAACAATTTCATTTCTAGCTAGAAAGGATTCGACCAGAACTGGAACGGAAAAAGGTTCTGAATGTATGATCTGTTTTGGACATTATGAACTAAAAGCAAGAAGCTTTAATTTATAGGCTGCAAATGTTCAGAAGAAATCCAACGGGCCCACGCTTCCTTCTGCTGCTAACAATGATAATAATATGAACCAAACCTCGTGGTGCATAAATAAAAAGAAAGAACACCAACCAACACCGTGTACCTTAATGTATAAAATTCTTCCATATAACTTGTGTTTTCTGAAGACATGCAGGGATGTTATATATTACAAGTCCATTCCCAGACTTTAATTTCCACATTTCCCAGTTCATTTTTAGGACTCCTGAGAACAATCATCGACCCGGCTGTCCGTGTTCCTGATGTGTTCATTGGTTCGTTCAGTCCAAACTTATTTCGGGCTGAACTAACTCAGGCGTTTATATTATAAGTCATCAAATGAGAACGGAAAGTGAATATAAACTTTTATACAATTACAATAATGTGAAATTGTATTTTTTAAAGGAATCCACATAAAATGTTTTGTAATTAAAGGGAATTTTGACACTATTCCCGCTGTTTCTTATAATGAAATCTGATCAGCAGGTAACAAAATGTCATACCCTGCAAAAATGAACCTTTGCACCTTTTGTCCTGTTGCAGCCATGGAGATGACTGGAACACCAGAATTCATTGGTTTGGTGCTGGGACCCAATACCTCTGGGATTATGGCGTATTTTGATATAAGGGACACTGCAAAAGATATTTTGTAGAGTGTAATATCCTGTAGCACAAATCTGCCTCGACACATTTAAACAACCAGCTTCTCTAAGCCTGAAATGCTGTGACAGAACAAGTGAAGGAGGAAACAGATACTCATCTGAGTCAATTCATTTATTATTTGATTTTTTTGCACTAGTGCCCTTTAATGACTAGTAAATCGACAGGAAAGAGGCTGCAGCAAATGGCCAGAGACTGGGAATCAAACCCAGGACAGCTGCCTCTGCTCATGGCGAACCTGCTCTACCAACTGAGCCACCCAGCGCTCCATCTGAGTCAAATATAAACAGTCATTTTTATCTCCCTAAGCTGGAACACAACTGTCCTGCAGACACACGGACCCTGCCCCTCCCCTCCCTCGCAGAGGGGAACCTAAACGATAAACAAGGAGGCACTCCTGGAAGTTGAAAACTCTGGTAACATGTAGCCAGATGTAGTCAAAATGGCAAAAACATTTTTGCTGCTGAGGCAGATAAAGAAAAGCTAAAGGATGCTGAGAAGCCCTGATGCCAGCTGAGGACCTTACAGACGCCCTGATGTTTTTCAGCCATGAAAACAAAGCTCAGTAATCCTCCGTTCTGCTGTGGGAATGAATTAACGCAGGAAAATGTCCACCAGCAGACAGCGCTGAATGGAAGAGGCGAAACGATCAGTGGCAACCTACCCTGATGACTTCAGCTAAGCGCCAAACAAAACCGGATGTAAAACTACCAGAAAACAAGTCAACAGGGGTTTCCATTGACCAGATCATTGTGTACACTGTAAGGAATGTTTGTATGGACTAGATCTGTTTACGCTGTAAAACAATCCAATCAACTACACAGCTGGACCGAATGTATACACCCTGATAACGGATATTTACACATCTAAGTATGATATAATAACGTGACAACCCTAGTTGGGAGTATAAGGCTATTAGGTTTGTAGGCCTGTTTTCTATTCATATGTGATGTGCCTGGCTGGTGGCAAAATTAAAACAGGACCTCTGAAGGTTTTCCTCAATGATTCCATAAAGACCAGATTTGTGGGGTGCACAACTAATAGTTGTCCTGTTGACATTCTTCCACCTGAGCTGCAAATCTCCACAGCCTCCCCAGAGTTACCATGGCCCTCCTGGCTGCTTATCTGATTAAATCACTCCTCACCCAGCCGGTCAGTTCAGGTGGACGGTCATGTCTAGACGGGTCTAAAGTTGAGCCGCTCATTTTTACCTGAGATAAAACCCTGGGATTATGTTTGATAAGAGAACGTTTTTAAGCCTTTAGGTTGTCTACTGTGGTCCCAATAAGCTGATGAGTTTGTAAACTTGTAACTTTTTCCAGTGGTTCGGTTTATTTTCACACAGAGAAACTCCAAACGAACCAGAACCAGTCCCTACAAACCGGGCGAGATCAATTGGTCTGTTTATTGGTCAGATGTGCTGTACCGCATCCCACAATGCAACGCAAACTTGGCTACGGGGAGGGGTTTGGGTCAAGCTTGCAGCGAACACCTGGTATCTGTGTCGGATCACGTTCACACCATAAACACGCCGTGCTAGAGTTAGTTTGGTCGATAATCTGGTGACGTCTGAAGCTGATTGGCTGCACTGGATTTTGTTTAGTGATATCAGACTAAAATTGGGTGAATATAATTCCTTGCATCACTTTTCACATTATTTGGGAAGTTTTAAAAAACATATTGTCTGCTTACTTTTCACGCTTACGCCCCACTTAAGGTGCTGCACAAACCCGCAATCAGTGAACGTCTAGTTGCTGAAAATGTGTCAAACGTTGACATTTGTTGACAAATGGTGCCATTAACTTCATTTCAGTTGCGCTTCATGGAGTCGCCCCCTTCTGGCCATCAGACAAAATGTCACCTGAAGCCTCGACAGAAAGCGGCTTTGACATTTCTACAAACTGAGACCTTTCAAGAAATGTGTTTAATTAACATTTGTATTTGCCTTCTGCTCTCAACAGCATCACCAGGAGGTCCCAGGAAGCTCCATCTTCCTCATCTCAGCCAACATCCTCGTCTCCATCCACAGGTCGCAACGGATGGGCACCGTGGTCTTCCTCCCGAAAGAGGAAACCATCAAACTGCAGCACAGAGAAGACAAATTAAAACCCAACATAGCTCTTTGAAAGCCCAGTGAATGTTTCATGAAGCTGCTAACGGTCCTGAGATCAGCTATAAGGTCCTGGGACACATGGCGGGGTAGATATTTCATGAGCCTGAAGAAATCTAAACAACGACTGTGTGATTTCTTAATCACAGCTTCATGCAACTTTAATATGAGTGGAAGTGTAACACTGTCAGGTGGCAGAAGCAGACTGAACAATTAGTGTCTTCCAGGCAGCCTCAGAGTGCCTGTGATTTATAATTAATTTGGAACAGGATTGTCTGCCTCACATTATGAAGTTCTGCTAACAAAGCCTCTGTTCTCAAAGTCCTGCAGGAGGAAAACTGCATTTTATATATATATGTTTTATCTAAAATCCCCCCCCTCCAAGTCAAACATGAGTTTCTGTACATCAGAGACTGGGATGCAGATTGGGCTGGGAGGACAGTACTGGAAAAAGCAATTAGTTTAAATGCAAGCAAACAATTTTTACTAATTCGTTTGGGCCCCTGTGTGCAGACCGTTGATGCACAAACATTTTACAACTGCTGAAGTTTGTAGATTATGAAAAATGTCTGAATTCTGCAAATAAAGGAAAGGAAGAGGGGAGACAAAAAAGAGCAGAGTGGATGCAGAAAAAATAACAGATCTGAGGTCAGTTGTGCAAACCCAACATTAAAATGTTTCCTGATTTCACCACAAAAGAAAAAGGTGAATAAACTGGGTGCTATAAAGGGAAAAATATCGTGGATTTTATAAACATGATTCCCTTTTACTTTTAACACCAAGTCATGACTACTGCAGATTTTACCGTCATACAGGAGTGGCATATACTAACAAATGAGGAAAAAAATCCCACATTCTTTAAAAAACTGCAGATATGGCAGAGAAGCACCATGGATGTGAAGCTAGAGCCAGGTCAAACTACTCACACTCCTTGTCCTTTATGCCACACTGTGGCCACATACATTCATGTATGTCATTGGGATTTCATGAAAGACCAACACAAAGTAGTGCATTATTTAAGGACATGTGGTTTTCTAGGGTTTTTTCTTTTTTTCTAAAGAAAGTAATGAGTGTGCATTTGTATTCACCCCTCTACACTGACAGCAAACATGGGAGAAAATGCTCTGGTCAGATTAAACCAATACTGAACATGAACATGCAAAACTGCGTGTGTGTTGGGAAACTTTACACAGTGAAACATGGGGATGGCAGTGTCATTCTGTGGGGATGATTTTCTTCTGTTGGCACAAGGAAGCTGCTCAAAGCTGATTGGACAAAGACCTGCTAGAGGCTGGACAGCACTTAAGACCGAGGCAGGTTCACCATCCATGCAGGAAGAGCTACAATGGAATGGTTTCCCTCAAAGCTCAACTGTGTGTTGGAATGGCCTAGTCAAAGTCTACAAATAAATCTGTGGGGTTCTCCATCCAATCTGACTGAGCTTGATCTATTCTGCAGAGAAGAATCTGCAAACCTTTAACCTCAAAATGTACAAAGCTGGTAGATATACTCAAAAAGTTTTACAGTTGGATGCAAAAGGTAACAGTGTTGACTCAAAGCTGTTTGAATACAGAAGCAAGCCACACTTTTCAGATTTTTATTTATTAAAAAGAAGAAGAAAGAAGATTGAAAATCATGCATCATTTTCCTTCTCATTAAAACACAGTGAAGTTTATGGATATTTTTCATACACATAAACAGCCCATGTCAATTTGTCCCTTTTTTGGGTTCTTAACTCCCTTCAAAAAGCATTTTTGAATACGCTACTTTTGCTAAGTTAATTTGTTGGGGTTTTTTTTTCTTCCATTAATTGCATTGTGATGAAACCCCTTTAGAATTTCATGTTGTATTATTTCCCACCAGGTGAAGATACTTTTTGTTTTTCATATAATGTAAATCTACCAACTGTTTAAGAGCAAAATAGATTTTTTTAAATCTCTTCAAAACAAAAAAAGAACAATCTTGCTTTTCTATTTCATGACCATGTTTTATTCACCTCATTTACATCTTCCCTCTTTGTACATAGTGTTTAGATTATTGTACTGTATCTTTTCTACAGTTTGTTTTATATATATATATTTTTTTTTTTTGTTTTTGTTTATTTTTTCCAATTTTCTGAAAGCACTCTTTATTCATGGTAATTTATTATTTATCCTACCTAATACTACCCTACTAGAAATTGACCTTTAACCTGTCCTGCTGCTGAAACTACTTAATTTCACCCTAGAGGGATGATAAAGTAATCTTATCTCTATATTAATTGTATGATTTTTATAGACGTCTATGTGCTCATTTACTCGACTGTTTAGGGGGTGCATCCCGTGAATACGGGCCCAGGACAAAACTGCATTCCTGCTCCTGAACCAGATGTTTGACGATCAGACTCTTTGAACACCCTGGAGTAAACTTTCACAGGAAAGTTGGTGTTCTTCTATAGCTGCAACTTGGACCTGGGTTCCAAAAGCCAAGTTTCCCAACTTGATTGTATATTTTGTCTAATGAGTAAAACAAGGTACATGCTGGCAAGTTCTTTTCTAGAGATAAATCAAAAAACAAATTAGACATTAGTAGGTTAACATTTTCATGAAAGAATACCTAACTGGGTGTCCAAAATTTTAAAGACCAAATAATTAGCTACAAAAGTACACACTTCAGTTATAAGGTGGACACCTGCAACTTAATGTTTTATGTGTGTCAGCTTATCCATGGCCTATACCAGTTTGTTGTTGCAGGGTCGCTGGGGCCCATCTCCAGCAGTCATTGGGCGAGAGGCCCAATGGACAGGGACACACAACCATGCACACATACACTCATGCCTAACCACTGACGCGGGAGTGTGCTGGAAAACCCAAAGGGAACCCATCCATGCATGGGGAGAACATGCAAACTCCATGCAGAAAGACCCCTGCATGGAATTCGAAAGCAGGACCGTCGTCCTGCAAGGCAACAGTGCTACCGACTGCACCACCGTTCAGCCTGGAGATTTGATTCTAAAACTTTGAATTTTGACATTAGTTCTTGTTTTACCAACTGGGAATTCAGAAAATCGTAATTCTAACTACAAGAAGAATGCTTCATTATTACACTATAGAAATTCCAACTGATCTGTGACAGGGAAGACCATCTTAGATGTGGTCTACCTTAAAAACAGCAGC